CTTGAGGACTGAGATGATGCGGGAGAAACAGCGGAGGGGTCTAAACGACGAGCAGAGTATGTGACAAAGTCTTGTAAATAGCTGGGGGGGGGGCGCTTTTCTCGATGCCCGCGGCCTAATAACTCCGTGGTGGGTTGAGAAGCAGCTGGAGTTTCATTATTTCTGCAAGTTGTATGGCTCCTTGTCTCATTAAGAGGACCAACCTTCTCATCAGTATCCGTGTTCTGATTTCCTTCTTCATTGATCGTGTCACTCCCCCTGACTTCTATATGAGGTGACTCAGATACCGTGTCAGGAGGAGTGGCCTAAGGTAACCCAACATTTTCTTTGGCTATGGGAGGACTAGTTACTGAGGGTTGATGTTCTAGAGTGGTAAAGGGAAACTCGGCCTCACTAAACACCACGTCTCATTAGACGAAGTAATCACCAGACTCAAGATCGTATAATTTCCATCCCTTTTTCCCAAAAGAATATCCAACAAAGACACATTTCCTACTCCTAGTGGCAAATTTGTCACGGTCCCGAGTATGCAAAAAACACAAGCAACCAAAAATTCTGAGATGTTTATAAGAAGGACTTTGTCCAAACATCATCTCGTAAGGTGTTTTACCACCAAGAAGGGTCGAAGGTGTCCAGTTAATCAAGTACCTTGCGGTCAAAACACACTCACCCCAGAAATTGATTGGAAGATGTGCTTGAAATCTGAGTGCTCTGGCCACATTCAAGATATGACGATGCTTTCTCTCCACACGACCATTTTGTTGTGGTGTTCCAACACAGGAAGTCTAAAATAAAATCCCTTGCTCCTCAAAATATGATTTCAAGGATTTAAACTCTGTTCCATTATCACTTCTCACCACCCTAACCTTCTTATTGAATTGTTGTTCAATCATTGCACAGGAATTTCTGAGTGTTCGACCAACTTCACTTTTTTCAACCAGCAAATAAATCCAAACCGCTCGAGAATAATCATCAACAATTGTCAAAAAATATACAACACCGCAAGATGTAGGTACTCTATAAGCACCCCATAAGTCACAATGAATTAAAGCAAAACAATCGGTCACTTTATTGCTGCTTTGAATAAAAACATCTCTAGTTTGCTTTGCCCTCAAACAAACATCACAGGTTTTGTTCTTACTATTACTGATATTAAGAAGCGAACTAACCGTTTGATAAGAAGGGTGTCCCAATCTCCGATGCCACAAATCACATGATCCAATTCCATCTGTCTTGTAAGCACGAACCGGCGCCACATCCTTGAAGACATAGACCCCATCAAGTTGTTCACCCGCACCAATAAGAGTCCTCGAGATGCGGTCCTGTATCACACACAACTTATTAGTAAACGTCACAATACAATTTGTGTCACGAAGTAACCGACCTACTGGCAATAAATTACAATTAAGTTTTGGGACATATAATACGTGCAGCAATTTAAAATTATTTCCAAGTTCAACAGTGCCTTCTTTTACGGCCTCGGTGTGCGCACCATTGGGTAAGCTAACAGGACAAGGTGCAACATCATGGGTGTCGACGAGCACATTTAAATTCCCTGTCATGTGATGTAACGCCCCAGAGTCAACAATCCATTCAGTGGAGTAATTCTTACCAGAGAGTTTTTCATTAGTCCTGGTTTTGTAAGCATTAAGCATGCTTACAAGAGTTTGCCATTGCTCGTCATTAAGCCCGTTCAGTCTGGTCCTGTCTTTGTCAGTCACAACTGCATTAGCAGCCACCTCACGCCCCGCTGATGACTGAGCAGTATGAGTCTATGCCGTACCTCGGCCACATTCGCCAGAAGGTCCAACAGACTTACTCGAGCTCTCACCATTCCTGTTATTGTTGGCAGCCATGGTGACTGATAGAGTCCGTTCAGTGTTTTGGTCGAAAGAAAACGGCCGTCACCGTTACCTCGCAGATATATGCAATTCGACAGAGCATCCCCAAGGCATTGGTTGCGTACTACCAGAAGTACATAGACGAACTGTTGAAGAAGGAGATCAAAGACATTCTGGTGAGGTACGACCGAACACTGCTTGTTGCGGATCCTCGGCGTTGTGAGCCCAAGAAGTTCAGTGGGCGGGGTTCTCGTGCGAGGCTCCAGAAATCATACCGTTTAGGAAGCTGGGGAGATTCCCATGGCATTTATAGTACGAAAAGCTGAAATGATGGATTATGTAGCTGAACAGATGGCCCCATATAAGAAGATACGCTGAGTCAATACCATTCCAAAATCTCCTGCTGGGAAGATCTTGAGAAGGGAGTTGATCAATCGTGCTCTCTCCTTTGCATCAGCTAAGTTATAATCTTATCTGGCAATCGGCGATTCCTCTATGCCACGGTTGCAGCGACGACACCCGGCGATCGACAATTCCACCGTGAATTCATTTCCAGTCGTGTTCTTCAACGGGGAGCGCGAAATAGATCTCGGCAACATCAATGTTCACCCGTCTGTGGAGTTCAAGAAATTCCAATCGTTCTTGAATCGGAATCTCGCCTTATCAGATCTCTGTCTCGCTTATCTGACGGAAATTGTCAAAGTCACCGCCTAGGAATCACCGCAAAATTCCGGTCACCGAGAAGGAGATTGCTTCTTTTACGTCAAGGAGGGAGAGAAGAGGCAAGCCCCGCCGAATCTTTGAAGAGGAAAATTATTTGTCTCCACATTCGATCGATTCCGCGTAGGAGAAAGCACCTCCTCTGGAAAAGATTTTCCTTCGGCGCGACGCCGGCTTGGTATCGCCGTCCCCATATCCAGAATATGAGGATAGATATGGATACGAGGGGGCGAGAGAGCGCGTGCCGAAGAGCAATGGTGTAGTGGTCTGCGAGGTGTGTTTGGATGCGAAGGAGATGAGCTGCAGTCCTTGAAGAAACAGAGGAACGTCAAGTTCTTGGGTGTGTTCAGATGCGAAGGAGATGAACTRCAGTCCTTGAAGAAAAAGAGGAACGTCAAGTTCTTGGGTGTGTTCGGATGCGAAGGAGATGAGCTGCAGTCCTTGAAGAAACAGAGGAACGTCAAGTTCTTGGGTGTGTTCAGATGCGAAGGAGATGAACTRCAGTCCTTGAAGAAAAAGAGGAACGTCAAGTTCTGCCACCATCAAGAAACTCTGTAAACACTGCAATCTTCAATAGGTGTGTTCGGATGCGAAGGAGATGAGCTACCGTCCTTGAAGAAACAGAGGAATGTCAAGTTCTGTCGCCATCAAGAAACTCTGTAAACACATCAATCTTCAATGACGAGCTCAATCAAGAACTTTGTAAGTTCTGTGAAGAAATATTCTACTATAGCCAGAATAGGAATTGGAGATCAAGAAATCCTAATGACGACGAGAACTAACTTGCCCGAAAGTGATCAGCAGCGATAACCGTTGGTCGCGCAGCGAATAGTAACCTTGCTCTGTTACCATGATAAAAATTTCGGAAGCCAAAGGTGTCCATTTTCATTGATACCTTATGATATTTATATACAAACGATGGAATTCACAAAATACTGTAAAAAACAAATTCCTAATCCAAAAACAAAAACAAAACAAAAAGAACTTCCTAACTATTCAGGTTATATACAGATCCGAGACTCTTGCGAGTCTTATCTCCGTTCAATACCAAAGTGAGAAATCGAAGGGAGCAAAGATGTCCAGAGCCACTGTGGAGCTCGATTTCTTCGAGGTCTACCTCTTACTGCAGCGCACGAGCTGACAAGGGTTTGCGCTGCAGGTTATAAATTGATAAGCGCACGATTTCAGACTTGTCAGTGGATAAGAGAAGGAAGAGGAAGATGAGGGTTTTGTGCACTAACACTGTTCCTCGTCTTCCTCCATTTTGTGCGCGGATATCTGTTTTGCGCACTGATATGGGCGGATAAGAAAAGGAAGAGGAACAATGTCCACTGACACGGGTGAATCCATTGTTCCTTTCATTCCTCTTCCTTCTCTCATTTGCCCATGTCAGTGTGCAAAACGGAGGAAGATCCACCCATGTCAGTGCGCAAAACCCTCGTCTTCCTTTTTCTTCTCTTATCCGCCCTCGTCTTCCTCCAAGCCTCGTCGTCGTCGTCTTGGAATCTAATGTATTTCCATGAATACAAAGGCAGGGGAAGAAGACGAGGAACAGTATCACTACTTTTTTGATATTTTTTTAAAAAAATTATTTTTTATTGGTATTCAGGATAAAAATTTGCCTTTATCAGCTAAAAACCCTATAAAAAATAATGAAATTTGTTAATGGAATGATAAATGTCCTTGGCCTTTCAAAGGCCTTTATTTTGTTTTGGTCAAAGGCCTCTAGTTAGTAAATGATTTTACTACCACGTGGTGTTAAATCAAAGACATCAATGTTTTTATTATGGCCCCACCTTGAATTAGATGAAGTGGTACTGCGCTAAAACTGTAAATCCAAAGCTTGGCCCATGATATCAAATTTACATAGTAGGTGCTGGTCATCTAGATCTAGCCCAGAAGAGGAAAAAATTGCAAAGGAAAACTTATGCTACACGAAAGATATGATACCGAAGAAAGAGTTTTGACCGATCAAAATCCTTTTGGGTTAAACAAGTGGGCCATTTAAGCGATTATTATTTGTGGGCCTGGGCCACATATAATCATTTACTGTATCCCCTCTCCATTACCCAAAGGCCCAAACTAAGACCGATCAAACCTAGTAAGGCACCCAACATCGGCGGGATTCGATCCCGAGTCTCTTCTACCGTGTTACGACCATCTAGAGACCTTGCCAGCAAACGAGCTGGCACCTTCTCACGTCGTCACGTCTCCTCTCGAATTCACATCTGCGACAAACAAACGCCTAACAGCACATCCTAACCGTTTATTGCGAACATTTCCCATCTCCCAATGGCAAGTATGGAAGTACGGGAAATATTCTTAATGCACGGCGAGATGTGCATGTGGGGCGATTGTGGGGCGCAGATGTGAACTCCTCACTCTCACCCAAGACGCCAAGTATTTTAAGACAAAGAATCGTCAGTTAGAGTTCCACCTCAGACAGTCCACCCTTGCATTATTATTTGCAGGAAATCCTCTTCACGCGTTCGTCGGTTTCTTCTTTCTTTGTCTGAAAATTCACGGGAATTTTGAAAAGCCGAATACAGAGCCGATGAGTTAGGATTACCGTCTTATTGGTTCAACGCTCGTCTCTCAATATCTCTCATCTTGTTTGTTGAAAAGAAAAGGCTGGAGTAGCTCAGTCATGGCTTCTGATGTGTCAGTTAAAGCTGACGACAGCATAGACGGCGTAGATGAAGCAAGATTCCACGAATTTGAAGAAATTAGGGCTTCAGATCGATCTGATAGCAATGCATGGTCGAGTTCTTTCCACGCCAGGTCACATTCAACAACTCCAAGGAGCAGACCAAGCTCCCCGAGAAGTCCAGCTGACTCTCGTGATTCTGGTTTCGGGGCAGGCTACGGATCCTTCCCCAGCAGATTCTCTAATGTTCACAGATCTTATTCTTCTCAATCTCTTTTCGGTTCCTTCGGTTTCAGTGAATGTTGGAAGTGGAAGTCATGGAATAGTTGGAGCAATATGGAGACTAAATCAAGACAGGAGCAGCAACAGCAGCTGCAGCTACACCAACGGGCGAAAGGGAAGGCAGGCAGAGTGTGGTATTGGAAGCGAATGAGGACTCTTATTGCTATTGCTACGTTGATTGCTTGTTTTTGCCTGATGAATTGGTTAATGCTTTCTCATCTTCAAGACACGGTTAGCGGTCCCAGAGACGGGTTTCTAAAAGGAAATTCGTCATCTGTTCGTGTAAGTATCTTAATGTATATGTTCTAATTGGACACCGTCTAGTGTCACACTCTCAGATATCTTATTTTGTTACCTAACAGGAATGATAAAGAAACTTTAGAAATGAGAAAAGAAATTTGAAAGCAATAAACAGATAGGTGTTTTTGTACCTTAGATCCAGGGGAGAAGTATTCCTTCTTGTGTCCAACTAGAAGTGAAAATTTTCGTTATTTTTTATTATCTAGAAGATATGACAAAGAAACTAATTGAATATGGGAAAAAGAAATTTGAAAGTAATAAACGGACAAGCGTTTTCTTTTTCAACTTAGAATCAGAGGAGAAACTTTGCTTTTTCTGTCCAGTTAGATATTGCATTGTAAATGTTTGGAAACATCTAATAATAACTTATATGCCCATGTTAGTTCATGATATAAAATAATACAGATCCTATTTAGAAAGCATATTCATTTATTTGTGTCGAGCTCCTTTAGTAGTTTCTTTTCTGGAACTATGATTTATATTGTTAAAAAGGTCCACAAAACATTCTAATAAATTATACTGTTTTATGTGTTTCCAAGATTTTATAAAAGAGAATTACTAGATGAATATCTCTAAGACAGCATCAGGCATTCCTACTGTTTCCCTAGGCTATTGGGATTACCATCAAAGTAGAAGCTAATAAAAATAGAAATTTCTTAGTGATTGTATGGAATGTAGCTTCCTAGTCTATGTATAGGTCAATAGGTGCACCAATTTAAGTGCACTTTACTTTTATGTAATTGTTCTCATGACCCAGTAGCTGAGATGGTCACTGGGTGTCCCTCCGAATATGGAAGTGTGGGATCAAACCTGTGCAATTGCAGGCTCTCTGTTGTAAGGTCAGTGGACCTCATGTGCATACTGTTCTCTCCCCCACCCCTTAATCCCTGTAATGTGTAATATGCAATGCCAAAAAAAGCAACTTTTACATAATGGTGCGACAAGTGAAACAAGCACACTCCTTGCTCCTTTCTTCAGTTGTGTAGCAGGGCATTTTGATCCCAACTACATATGTTGCAATGCATACTTTATTACTGGTTTCTAAAGGGATTGAGGTTGAGGAAAAACTTCATTCAAGAAAAATTATTAAAAAAGGATCTCCTTCGTTCAAGGAGATTTTTTTGAAAGCAATGCTATTGTTATATTTGGATATACCATTTTGTCAAGATCAATTTGAGCAGCACACAAGTCATTGGCACAAAGTTGTTTACTTATTTTTTTTGTAATATTTTCAGGGGAAATTGAGCAAGTTTTCCAAAGGGAAAAAGATTTACAGAGGTAGATATGCTAGGATGCTGGCTTTGGCTGCCCATGCTTTAGCAGAGGTGGGTTTTGGATACAAAGTTTTCTCATGATGAGGCATTTCATGTTCTGGTTTGGAAAATTATTGTTGTTAATGATTTTTTAGAAATTCTATATTCAGGGACAGAGCAAACCTGAGCCTAAAGATTTATGGGTAGAACCCCTGATCTATGCTTCTGCTTGGACACCTTGTGCTGATCAACGCAACTGGGAACCTTCTGGTAACTCTATTTGGGAACTCTTTGTTAAACATCTAATTATATTCATCCATTTTGGTTCATTTGTTGTTTAGGGGTCTGTAACTGTATTAGCATAGTACCTGTACTCTTATTTTGTTGTTCACATTGCTTCTTTTCATATATACATGTATGTCCATGGGTCCATGCAAGTGTTGCATGTTGTGCTGATACTACTTTGCTATCTGTATTTGCATGTATAGGATAGGGTGATACTGATCTCAACATTGGTGTATGTATGTTATCAGATGTTGGTTTCTAATTTACTTTGTGAAAATTGACATTCCAGAAGGGAACAATGGATACATTATTGTCAGTGCAAATGGTGGAATAAATCAGCAGCGAGTAGCTGTAAGTAATCTTCTACAAAGAAAATTTGCCTGCATCCTACTTCTTGATGTTGAACTTATCTTCAAAAAATTATTTTCTGAGAGTTGGGAATGTTAAATTTTGCATGCCATTTTCAAATATATAATGTTGTCAAATATGCTTGGTAACAGGTCTGTAATGCTGTTGCAGTTGCTCGGTTACTTAATTCTACTCTTGTCATTCCAAAATTCTTGCTCAGTGATGTTTGGAGAGATGAGAGGTAACATTCTTTTAACACATTAGTGCATTCATATATGTTAATTTTATGCTTGGTCTGATGTTCCTAGTTCAACTATGATGTTTGTCCTTTTACGTTTGTTAAGGTTTAATGGGATTGCATGTCCAAGCTTAACTGAGACTTATAGAATGAACGTTCTAACAGTTTGAAAGTTGAAAAAAAGGAAAACGGTTTCAATAAATTGTTGTATCCTTTATAAGGATGCATGGGAGTATTTGGCAAGTTTGCTTGGAGTATTTGACAGTTCCTCCTAGGGTTATATGGGTCAATGTTTTGAAAAACATGATTTTTTTATAAATAAAGTAGAACATTATATTAATTTAATTTAATAAGTGCAACTAATACAAGTAAACTTGGAGAGGTGCTAGCTGCATACTCTCCAAGGAAAAAATCAAGCTACAACTGCGCCGAATACAAATGGTCCCTGGCTACCCCTTGCTTGGCTAGACAGTCAGCCATAGCATTGGCTGACCTCCCAACCCATTGTACTCTTACAATCAGACCCCTTATTAACCACTTGAACCTCCTGGTTTCATTCTTATAACACCACACTGCAGACTCAGGATTCTGTAGCCAACCCAAGGTTCAAAGTTTCAATACGTATCGGGTCATATCGACTGATATGTATCGTATCGTGGGCTTCCCGATATGTTTTGGGATCTAACCCGGTTCAGGGGGTAGACGGACCTTAAAACTGAACCCTCTGAACCAGATTGGAAAAAAAACTAAAAAAAAAGGACACGAGCCTCAATATAGTCCGATACGCCCCTACCGGCGTATCGGATTGTATTGATATTTTGAACCTTGAGCCAACCTACTACCACCTTGGAATCTCCTTCAATTAACAGCTGTACCACACTTAACTGAATAGCAAACTATACACCTCGAATTGCAGCAAACAACTCTGCCTAGTGGAGTCCCCAATACCAAGGGGGCCCGAGAAAAGAAGTACCATATTTCCGTCCTCATCCCTTATAACCCCTCCCAATCCAGAAGGACCTGGGTTGCCTTAACTACTTCCATCAAAATTCAGCTTCAAAACCCCTACAGGAGGAGGTGCCCATCTTACATTTGCTCTAGGTTTTAGGGAAGAGCTACTTGCCACTACAGCCCAATTTCTCCATAAGTCATTAAGGGAGAAATGAAGGAACAGCTCCGAGAATTTCAACCACTGGATAGCCCTATTCAAGATGCATTTCTTTAGTTCTTGTGAATTTCTCTCCTTCTCTTGAAACACTCTAGCATTCCTCTCTTCTCAAACAGTCCAGATCAATGCTGCTCTTGCACACCTCCACATTAATCTTCCTCTCTTTTGGTGCCAGGCAAAAGTAGAAGGATAAAAAAGCATACTTACTTCAGCTGGCCTGCTCCATCTTTATCCAAACAACAAAGAAAGCCAATCCCACAACTCTGCAGGGAAAGAATAGAAAATTAGTAAATGGTAGCAGTCTTCACCATAGGACCAACAAAGGATGCACTAGTTAAGGGAGAGACAAAGGAAAGGTCTTCTCTTTTGTAAATTATCCAAGGTGTTTATTTTTCCGTGAAACATTTCCCGGAAAAATGCCCAAACCTTAGGGGTAATAGGCCTGCACCAAACCTCCTTGACAGGAAAAACTGTTGAGAGGGAGGGGAGACCAAGAGACCTGAAAAAAGAAGCACAAGAAAAAGACCCTTTAGGTTGTGGTGACTGGTGACCAAACCCTTTTTATCTGGTTCAAAGGGATCTAAGAAAACTTTTGCAAGAAGACTCAACATCCCGGTTTGGTGCCGACCTAGTAAGACACTCAATTTCCTCATCCCTTAAACTTCTATGAAATCCAAAAGCTACTTTCTCTAGGATTTGCCCCCAGCGGAAGCCCCAAGTAGGTCAAAGGCCAAGTAGAAGTGGAACACTCTAAACACTCTGCAATGGTCTGAACCTCTCTTAATTCCAAGTTAACACCTACTACTTGGCTCACAAGCGATGCTCATTTTGTGGGGGTAAACCTCACCTGCCTTGTTGCTATTTTTAATGCATTAACCATAAATTTAATGCTGAATTTGTAAATTATTATATTGTAGGTTGTAGCTATGGTGTTTAAACCGTTAAGCCTATTTAGGATTTCAAAGAATAAGACAATGACTTTCATGTTAATAACATGATGCTCTAACCAATTAAGCTAGAAGACATTTTTGGAATATTTTAATTCTTTCAGAATTTAGATTGCACTTTTTTGTTTTGAAAAAGGTAATGTATTGTATTAAGATAAAACAAAATGATCGAAGATATACAATCAGCCCAGAACCCCTGTACAAAGAGAATCTGTACTAGGGAAAACCCAACAGACCCAATTACAATAAATCCAACCAACAAGAAATTTACATATTTCTGACCAAAAGAAGATCCCTATAAAAAACGAACTTGTATGTCTGAATTTGGACAGTGTGATTTTCTAACAACGAAAGCAACATGCCCGAAACTTTTTAGATTGAATATTCTTGTATAACAAGTTTTTCTTTTGATTTTTTTTTCCCAAAAAGTGGCACCTCACTGTATTCAAGTGTGTTCCTTGTCTTGGGCTTTGCCTCTCCTCTCTAGGAACACCTTTTGAGTTAGTTCATTTCTCACTTAAAAAAAAAAAAAACTGGTTTGGGCTCTCTTCAATCATGCTGGAAATTTATTCATCGTAAAAATCATGCTGGAAAATTCTTCAGACTTATCAATGGTTGTGTAGGGGTCCTTGGGAAGTACATAATGGCCACTTTTTTAAATGAAACTATCCATCCTCTGGAGGTAATTAGTGAAGTATGGGTATTAATAGATATATAAGTGGCAGGCTTTATGGTTAATTGGAGGAAAGTCTCATACAACATCTCCTATTTCTTTCGAAATGTAGGCCTTGTGAATTTTTTCATAGATTTCTTGTATAGGCTTTTCCCCTTTTTCCTCATATAATCTTTCTTGATTTATCAATGCATAAATCAAGTAAATCATTAACTAATGATATGTTCCATAAATAATTAACTAATAGGGTGGACCTATGAAATATACTTTTTTTAGGACACCCATGGGATAAACTTGAGTAGGGCCATATATTGGGTCAGATTCAAATAATCAGATCTAAATGTCTAGATTTATTCACTCAGATGCTAGATCCAGATTTGATCCTAGATTGGTTGAATCCATATTAAGCCTATTGGGTTGAGTCTGAGTCTTTTCATAGAATATTTGTTACACACACCCATAGGATAAACTTGAGTAGGGCCATAAATTGGGTCAGATTCAAATAATCAGATCTAAATGTCTAAATTTGTTCTCTCAGATGCTAGATCCGGATTTGATCCTAAATTAGTTGAATCCATATTAAGCCTATTGGGTTGAGTCCAAGTCTTTTAATAGAATATTTGTTATCATAAATTCAAATCGAAATATTAATAACACTGATTCAAAACAACATTTCAATTGAGAGCACAGAGTTCAAAGCATTGAGCTCTATGCATATATGGTTTCCTAAATAGGTCAATCAAGAATCTTGTCTACATTACCAAAGTGCCATGTGGAGAATTGATTTAGCTGAAGCTGTCCAAGGTAGGGGATCCTAGAGCTGCTGCACATTGAGTCCCCTGGTCAATGTGCCCATCACTTCACTTGGTCTTGGCATTTGATACTAACCATTCATTTTTTTATTTGAAACAGCCTACAGAACAGGGCTATTCTTAAAAGCTTGAAAATTTAGCAAGGACTTATAAACGAATAAGCATCCCATAAAATGAGGGTGATCAATGGAGAGGCCAGTAAGTGATGTCCAGACCATGTTGATACATGGAAGATTCTTAGGTCATATAGAAAGGTCTTATCACTTTATAGTTACTTTACCACATAGGGTCATATTATCAAATGAAAAAAGAAACTCTTATTGAGGTGTCTTTCCATCTAGAAGACTGTTATTGTATTATACTAAAATATACTTATTGTCGAGAACCATCCTTGCCAATTTTATAGTTCAATTTCTTTTTCTTTATATACTAGTTACATGTTGTTAGTCTCGTCGCATGAAATGAAGTCCCCCCCAAACAGTCACAAAGGCTCCATTTGTTTCACTATAGAAAGTGATAAATTGTTTAAATCTACAAAATCAGTTATTTTTTGCCCTTTTACTGCAAAGGCATTGTTTTCTGTCCCCTTTACATGGAAGCAACACAGCCAACAGGAGAAAAAAAACAAAAATAAAACAGAAAACAAAAAAAGTGCTATATCAATATCATCACCATGACAATTATGGCTTAGCAGGTTGGTCAGTTGTTTTGTTATGTTATTGATATTATACATGTTTTAGACTCACCTCCTTCTTTAGAAATGGAAAAGTGACAGTATCATATTCTATAATTTCTTAGCCAATTCAGCGATATCTATCAGGAAGAGCACTTTATCAACTACTTGAAGCCTGATATTCGGATTGTAAAGGAACTCCCTATGCAACTGCAATCATTGGATTTGGAAGCAATTGGTAGCGTTGTAAGTAGCCTTTAGTTACCACCTTTCTATCAAGATTCTTAGGTCATGTAGACAACTTGTCACTTCCATGGTGTATTTTCCTTGCTTTTGGTTGGCATTACTTATGGGAATTCCTGCCAGGTTACCGATGAAGACATAATGAAAGAATCTAAGCCAAGTTTTTTCTTCAAACACATTCTTCCAATCCTACTCAAGAATAGAGTTGTCCATTTTGTTGGGTTTGGGAACCGTTTGGCATTTGATCCAATTCCATTTCAGTTGCAGGTATCTTAATATAATAATTGCTTTCTGATCCAATAATTGTTTCTTGAGGACATCTATATGTGTCTGTCTATTATATATGATGTACCATTTTCTGATAATTTTATTTTATTCCTCCTCTTTTTCCACTTCCTAATTGAGGGACTTCATCTAGAGACTCCGATGCAGATGTAACTTCCATGCACTGCGATTTGTACCCAAAATCCAGCAAACTGGTGCTTTGCTCATTCAGAGGATGCGTCAGTATATGCATCATCAAGGACCTTTGGATCATTACCTGGTTGGTCCATTTGCAGAGGGATCAAACATGAAAAAGAAAGTGTATTCTCCTGTAACAAACTCCCGATATTTAGCTCTACACCTGAGATTTGAAATTGACATGGTAGCTCATTCTTTATGTGACTTTGGTGGTGGTGAAAGTGAGAGGAAAGAGCTAGAAGAATTTCGCAAGATCCATTTCCCTGCATTGGCTCTTCTTGAGAAGAACCACAAGTATGCTTAATGTGGTTATCATTTGATTTCCAACTAATCTCTTTATAAATTTTTTTTATATCTTGGTTATTAATTAAAAGTGCATTGTTGATGTTTCTTTTATTTATTTAAGTTATTTAACGTGTTGCAGGTTACCTTCTGCTGCAGCCCTCCGTTCAGAAGGCCAATGTCCACTAACACCTGAAGAAGCAGTACTTATGCTTGCAGCTCTTGGTTTCAGCCGTAAGACACGTATATATCTAGCAGGAGCCCAAATTTATGGTGGAAAGTCAAGGTTGGCTGCTTTGACTGGCTTGTATCCTAATTTGGTTACAAAAGAAGATCTGCTTTCATCATCTGAAATTGAACCATTTAAGAACTTCTCATCACAGGTAATCAACTTATTGTATTTATTTTCTTTAGTCTGGTTTTGTTGCTGCAACTGTTATATGTACCTATCTACCTGATTGGGGTCCCTTTGCTTGGTCAAGGGTCTAAGCATGATTTACAGATATACTTTGTATTGGCTCCATACCCTACCTATGTAGGGTTGAATCTTATTTCAGGATCAACCCTAAGGTGACTGACCTAACCTGATTTTAATTCAAATTCACTGCATTTTCCATGCCTTGAATCGAAAAATCACCAACTTTTTGGTTAGGTTTATATTGAGTTTGAGGTCTCAGACTGCTTGACTTCCACCTGGGGTTATTTTGTGGAAATTCTTAATTGGCTGGACCAAATTGTTTCTTTACTTAATTATTTTGAATCTGTAATTTTTGTTTATAACCCTAGAACTTTGACCTTGGGGGTTCATACTATAACCCAGAAAGCTAAACTTTTTAGGGATAGGACTATTTGGTGGCAATCTGCCCCGGATTGGCTGGAACCTTTTATCTGTAATTTTGTTGTGGTTTAATCTATATTTTCACTTATCAAAAAAATAATAATAATAATAAAAAGACTGCTTGACTCCACTTGACTTTTTTCTGTTACATGTTTTCTTCCCTTGTGCATATTCTAACATATATTCATTTGTCAGAATATGAACACAGAAAACTAACTTGGTTGATGACAAAATGCCAACACATAAGGCTCAGTTTGGGAAGTCCACAAATACAAATATGTACACTGCAAAACCTTGTATATTGTATTTTTGAACCTTGTATTTGCACTGTACATATTTGTATTTGTACTCTTCCCAAACTGAGCCTAAGGTATTATAGGTTTTCAGTTCAATTGTCATTAAATTAATGTAATTAATTGAGAAATGTTTAAACTATTGTATCTGATTCACTCCAACCTAGCCCAATGTGAATCACAGCAGCCATCCGATATGGGTTAACTACCTCAAGTCACTCTTTGGGAGTTTGTGTGTGGATTGAATTTCAGCTCTTGAGGGTAATCAGATTGGTCCAACCAGACCCGCAGAAACAGATGATCTTTTTTTTTCTTCGGTTATCACATGGGCTTTGGGCTAATGGCTTAACTTATTTGTGGCAACACTTTGGTTCATGATCTATGTAGTAACTTCCTCATGTGAAAGATGAATTAAGAACAAGAAAGATTATTTCCAACCATATTCTTGAGAATGGGTGCGCATAAAAAACTGAAGCAGAAAAAATGGAGCATGTTAGATTATTTTATGTTTTAAAATGCATAAAAGTTCCTTTTATATTTGGTGTTGATGGTATGTGTATTTATCATTTCTGTAGTTAGCAGCACTGGACTTCATTAGTTGTGCCGCTGCCGACGCATTTTCCATGACAGACTCTGGAAGTCAACTATCATCATTAGTTTCAGGCTATCGGATATACTACGGTGGAGGAAGAATGCCAACGATAAGGCCAAACAAGCGCCGACTTGCCGACATATTCTTGAAGAACAATACAATTGAGTGGAAGGTGTTTGAAAAGAGAGTAAGAAAAGCAGTCAGGCAAACCAAGCAGGCTCATGAAAGGCCTGTTGCGAGGAGCATTTACAGGCATCCTAGGTGTCGGCAATGTATGTGCAATACAGAAATATAGGCAGGGTTTTGCAAGAAATTTGGTATCATTGTATCAATTAAAATTTTGAAATTTATTTTGTTTGATTATTAGATTCTGGCTCCAATCAGCGAGAGAATGGGAATTCCTTATTCAATACAGAACCACAGAAGTGAAAGAAAACGAATATAAATTGATTCTAAAGGGCAATAATATTTCCATTGTTATATTTCCAATTTCCTGTCAACCTCTAATCGTATTCTGCTACATTTTCTGCTTGTTCCCTTCTCCCCATCTGACAGCAGGATCAGCCAATAATAGAAAGTTCATCTGATCAAGGATTAAGCTCGACGATATATTGATCTCCCAGTACAAGGGGCATTAGTTTGTTTCTCAATGTCTAAGGTTAAAGTGTTAGACCCTGATTTTTTCTTTTTCTTTTAACAACTCGAGAACAATTGAGCAATGCAGTGAGCTACTTCGTTGCAGTCAGGTCCCTATGACCGATTAGGAGATGCACTGATAGAATTGCAATTGGCGATAGTATTGTGGTTACGTCGGGGGGGGGGGGGGGGGGGGGTGGTTCTGAGGATGCCACCAACAGGAGATTATAAATTGTTTGAGCGTCACCTCAAACACAGCTGCAGAAAGACCCAACCCAATATAACTATTTGAATTCCACTCCAAACTGCCATGGCTTCCATTTCAAGGGGTGACGAACAGCACTGCTCTTGCATAAAAGAAGGAGAACCGAGCTCGTCCCTCATCAGGACACCAGCGCTTGCTTTCCCATTATGACAAGCACCATCGAAATTGACCTTCAGAACCCCCTGTGCTGGTTTCAGCCACCTCCCATGTGCTAAACTGTTAACTGACTTATAACTAAGGGGATGTTTGGAGGAACGGTATCTGTTTTTCAAAAAAAAAAAAAAACAGTGCCACGTCGGGTCCACATAGGCGTTTCAACAAACACCCATGTATCTCATTGCTTGGTTCAGTCGATTATTAAAAAGTTGGGCATGCCTCAAAAATCAGGACCCACCGATGCATGAAACGCCAACATCGGTGAACCGTTTCCCCCAACGGTTGACTGATGTGTATCCTATGTTGTGCTTATCTGTCAGCACATACATGAAAAACGGTGATGAAAATCACCTTACCAAACAACATAATGTTGCTCACTGCCTACATGGCAAAAGCGTTTTTTTGTGTGAAAAATGGGTCTTGGAAGCATGGGTGTTTTTTCTTGAAAATCGGTCCTAAAAAGTGTCCACGCTTCCAAACACCATGTAAGATGTCATTATCAATCGTGACATCGTTTCCTAATCTAATAGTTAGGACCTGAAGTGGCGTTTTAAGTTCTTAAAGCTTCCATTTATTAAATAAGCATTTGTATTTGATTAATCTTCAAAATCGAGAAAAGTACTTGATAAACTGTTTATTGACAACTAGGCGCCATTGGACGCCACATCAGTGAAACAATGAATAAATGCTCAACCGTTGGGGGAAGCCTTTAAATGAAGCTTCTCCCAACGGTTGGTGCACATATAAATCAAAACCCACTTTTGTGAATATCAATGTGTACGGATGAACATAATGAGAAAAATACTGATTTAGCTATGACATGGCAGCGCTTTGATAAACGCCCATCACGAAACGTCTACAAAACAAAACACATGCTAAATCCATTCATTTTTTATTGATTTACAGTTGTTTAATACTGTTCTTTTTATTGCCTAGAGGAAAGCTACATAGAATGGACTTTTGTTCTTATATATATAATTTAATAATTATATATATAAATTATATTATACATTTAAATATTTTATATATTACATATAAGAATTAAATAATCGGTCGAATTCAGATATTTATCGAATCAAATTAGGTCATATCCGAATTCGAATCTAATTAGCAGCCAACATTGTCCATAAATCGAACATATATTATGATAGACAGTCCTGAACTGGTTGAAAATTTCATCTAGTATTTGTTATTGGAATTTGATGGATGGTGATTTGGCCCAACCTCATAATAAGGGGACACGTGAACGTGACTCGACATAAGTGACAACTCAGCATAACGAGCTCGCTACAATTCAGCGTAACGAGCTCGCTATAACCCAGCTTGACAGCTCGCCGCAAATGGCAGCTCGCTACAAGATAATACTCCGTTACCCCAAGCTAAGACTCTCCCAAATAGGGAGCACCCCGAGCTAAGACCTTCCCAAGTAGGGAGCATCCCGAACTGAAGACACTTCGGGTTAAGATCGTCATCTCCCTAACTAGAATAAGCTCTCTCCTGCCCAAACCTAAGTAGGCTACCTCGGAGACCTACCTCGGGTAGAAGCACCTCGGCGTATCGCAGGGGGTTTCCTGCCTAACAACCGTACCTGCCAAACCTGGAGACTGCGCCCACATCTCTCGCCTGGTGGCGTCGTGCCTGCCAACCCTGGAGGCTATTTTTTTTGTCTGGCAGGACCGTACTCTGCAACGATCACCTTCACCCACTAGCTCAACTCTGACAAATAACGGCCAGCCACTCCAAGCCGTTATTTGACAGCAGATTGCCACAACAGAGATTCAGGAGCGGTTGTACCTAACATGTCAGGATACTAGTATATAAGGACCCCGACCCCCAGAGGCGAAGGTATTGTGTGATCATCACTCTAGCTCTTTAATTTCTCTGCAACTCTCTCTCTCTCTCTCCCAGCTTTCAATCCGGTTACTAACTTAACCATCGGAGTGTTCCCGCCAGGTGAGCCCCCCGGGTTCCTTCATCTTCTTCCTCACAGGTATCTCTCATCCATCGCCAGCTAGGAGCGCAACCACTTCTAGCTAGGAGTGACTAGATCGCGCACCATCAATTGGTGCCGTCTATGGGAAACACTTCGAAAATCCTCTTTTTGCCAAGCATTTTGTCAAGTTTTCATGGCTTCCTCCAGCAACGCTGGACGCAGTGCGGATATGGATACTTTCGGGGAGCAACCTCAGATCCCGATGGTGTGCATCGACCAATTCACCCTACCACTCTCTATGGATGAGGTCTCGACTCTGAACGTGCCTCAGATCATGGTGCTAGTGAGTGCTCCACTCCCCCCCACGGTAGGTACAACCTTCGTCGAACCGTCTGTTCCCCTGGTAGCCGGACAGAACCAACTCGAAGACCTGATGCACTGCATGCGAGCTATACAAGCTCAAATGCAGCAAGTCCAGCAGTTCCAACTGTATTAGCAACAAGCACTGCACCATGTTTATCAATAGTAGTACCAGCAGCAGTTCCCACTACTGCCTCAGAACCAGTAGCCGGTTCCACCTCGGCATCCTGCCATATAGCAAGCTAAGCTTCGCCGTCGGAGTGAACGCCCCTCTCGCCGGGGAGAGACCTCCCAGACCCAGAATCCTCCTAGGAGCCAAGTCTTGTCCCGCAGCAGGAGGGAGAAACCAGTTACTCCCACCTCGTCGTGCATGGTCAGGTTGGGAGATTCTCAACCTAACATACCCGCATCACCTCGGCTTTCAGAGTTTGAGATCTCGCTCGTAGAAAACCGGTTCGAGGTCTTGGTCGCGGACTCTAGACAAGGTCCCTTAATCCACAGCCATCGCCAGCAGTCTGGGCCACTCCCCGCGAGAACTGTGCCTGACAACACAGAGGCCAGCAACACCAATGCGGAGCCGACAAAGAAGCAACAGAGATGCCGCAGAGCTCACCGAGCTACAACCTAGAACTTGCCTGAACTCCTCAAAGGAAAGGAAGAAGTGAGCTCGGGAGCAGTGAAAGCCACTCCACTCCTCTCTGTGCCATCTCCCCTGTCTCCCGAACTCCTGGTCGTCTCGATGCCAAAAGATTTCAAGGTACCTCCCCTGGACAAGTATGATGGTTCATTCGATCTAAATGATCATGTAGATTCTCTTCAGTCCCAGATGCACTTAGCCGGGGCAGGTGAGTCCTGCATGTGTGTAGCTTTCACTACTACATTTAAGGGGGTAGCTCGCACATAGTATAGAAACCTCGCGACTGGGACAATCAAGAGTTGGGCACAGTTTGTGCAGATTTTCACCTCACACTTTATCACCAGCAAGAGGTGTCCAAGGTTCCAAGAAAGCCTTCTCGGCATAGTCTAGAGGGAGGGGGAATCTATCCACAGTTACATCAAAAGATTCAATGATGCATGCCTACAGATACCTGATTTAGACCCCGTAGTGAGGCTTACAACAGCCAAAAGAGGCATAACACACAAAGAATTCAAGTGGCACGTGGTTTCCAACAAGCCTAAAGATGTAACCGAATTCCTCAAGCTCGCGGACCAGTTCATCGGAACAGAGGAGGAGATGAACCAGAAGAATGAGAACCCACCGGAGAAGAGGAAAAGAGAAGGTGAGGCCTCAACTAATGGGGACAATAAGAGGAAGAAAGAACCAGCTCGCAGGGGAAAGCCAGATCAGTCTTTCCGAGCTCCTCCAGCTGAAAGGACGAACTACACACCCTTGAACGTGAAGCGAGCAGAAATCCTCATGGCGATCAAGGATGCATCTTATGTGAAGTGGCCACCTCAGATGAGAGGAGACCCGAATACTAGAAATAAAAATCTGTATTGCCATTTTCATAGAGATCTTGGTCACAACACCGAAAATTGTAAAAACCTTCGCGATGAGATAGAAGAACTAATCCATCGCGGGTATTTGAGAAATTTTGTACAAAGTGATAATAAAACAGGACGGCAGGGGGAGCAAGGTAGAGACGCTCCCGAGTCCAGCAACAGGAAAAATGAGCAGCCGCAGAGGCAGCCACCTGAAGAGAGGCCAGTTTGGGGAACAATCCAAATGATCACCGGCGGATCGATCATCGCGGGCTGTACCTCAGCCGCAACAAGGACCTTGGCTCGCGAGATCGAAAGAGAAGAGCGGAATCCTCTGAAGCGGCCAAGGATAGAGGAAGCGATTTTCTTCACCGAAGATGATGCGCGTGGAGTTCAGTACCCCCACGATGACGCGCTCATTGTAAAGATGAGAATCAATGATTTCGAGGTAAAGTGCATCCTCATCGACTCTGGCAGTTCGGCGGATATACTCTTCAAGGCCGCGTTTGACAAACTTCAGCTTCGGGAAAGCGATCTCAAGCCCGCGAACTCCCTTGGTGAGCTTCAGCGGAGAAGAAGTCAGGCCCCTAGGGAGAGTTACAGTACCTGTGGAGGTCGACACATGGCCTAGTATTGTGAGATTTGGCCACA